ACTGGATCAATAAGAGATGATCCTTACTGGACCTCTGGGGGGAACAGTTTAGAACTGATAGAGTTATCCAAGATGCTAAGGTTTTCCATTTCACAACAAAGAGGAACGATCGTTAATCCATATGTATACAGGTGTATCATGAATAAATTACCAAGCATAACAATGCTCATTAAATAATACAAATTTTTCCACAGAAGAAGAAATGAGCAAGTTCTCTTTGTGTACCTCTTCAGTTTGTTAATCCTTGCCTCATAAGATGTCTTCTCTTTTTTGAACTTTATCTCTTTATCTTTCCAGACATCTTCATTGAGTTTAGCCTCCGCCAATTCCTGATCCTAGAATCACAGTTGTATATCAAGAATGAACTCATAGCGGTCTATGCAGTATGCATAAAGTTAGTTTAATTAAGGTTTTCTCCTGAAGTAACACCAAACCAAAAGCGTTTATATCTCAGTACTGAATCTCAAGGACGAAGAATTAAGAAGCTTATACAATTACCAATCTCTGTTTTAGAGAATCAACGTTCTTTTCAATGTCCGCAGCACGGTCTTTTTGTAATCTAAAAAAATGTTTGATGCATTATTTCAATTCCAAAATAAGCAGCTCAGTAGTGGCTTTTTTCCATTATCTTGAACTTTGCCAGTGTATGTAGTGCCGATCAAATGAACAAGCTTTCGTTGTTAGGGATGCAATTACCTGAAAAATATATAAGGAGAATTGCGACGTTTCGAGCGAAGGCCCTTCGTCTGGAGTTACTAGTGGGGGATCGAGAATATTACATGAACTTTTATACCAAGAATATAAAAGCATCACGTGACAAAAATAAACCATGCAATCAGATGGATTCAGTCAAAACAAAGTATAAACCAAAAAATGTAAATCACATTACAGAATATATTAATATACAAATATACAGCAAATACAACAAGTCATGCCAACTAGTAACTCAGACTTCGCTCGAGGGTAGTTGCATTTCCTACCAACGAAAAGTTTTTTCCATGCTACGCTACTAATGCTGTGATGAAAGGCCTTTGCTCCAACACTAACCCTAATGTTGCCATACTTATATCCCTAGCCTATTACAAAATTACTACCAAGCATTAAAGTTTTTGTGGGTCATGCAGTTTCCTTACAAGGAACCGCAATTTAAATACAGAGACCCTAGTTTCAACCAACGCCTTCATTCTCATCCATCTTATATAATCATACAATCATCCTTACCCAAATCCTGTAACACTAGCCTAATTCTAACTCTATAATCCCAGCACAATCCCTATTTTAATTATAATGGACACTGGGGAATGTGATTGCGTAAATATAACATGCATGAACAAAATGATAGAACGATAACTTTAGTCGAGTTTCCAGAGCTGACTAAGGCGGAACACAAACCTCGCGGCCTTCTTTAATGCATCTTTCTCTCTCTGACTTTTATCCTGCAAGACAGAAGAATTGTAGACATCAAGCTACAAAATATCGACCTGGTATTCGCACATACGACTTTCAAACAAGACATAACAATGGGAGATCGTTGCTGACGTTTCATTGTACACATCACAACATCTTCAGAAGATTTACATCTATACTTGCAAATTTACAAAAGTACACTATATATTTTTACTAATTACTAAAACGCGGTTACAAGATTCAAATAATTACAAATCTAATAAGGGGTCTTAACTCCACGCATGATTTTGTTCAACAATAGCGTTCTTTAATTAGTCGGGCATGTATTATATTAGTTATGTAAAAAATGTTGTATAAATAGAGTACACATTATCTGAGTACCTCATTCTGAGGAAGGCCATGACAAGCGGCCGAAAATATTTAATGTTTAGTTTCTTTCAGTTAAAAGATTAGTATAATAAAGACAGTTCTTCGTACGTATACCCATCTCTTGGTTTTATACATATAATATGATTTGTTGGCTGAGGTAAGTTTTGGTCATTGTTCTCGAGTGAGTATTTCATAATTTCCAGACCGCAACCTTCAAATTACTAGATCTAATTATTAATTTTTAGATCTAATTCGAAGGTTGCGGGTTCGAAACCCAGCCGCGGCAGGCATCATGTCGCTTATTTCTGGCCATGACATGCATGGGAAATGTAATTCCATAAAAAAACCTGTTGCAATTATATAAACATCAATGAGTTCAGTAAAAAATATTACAAGGAATACAGCCTCGATATAATTGGTTTATTTCGTGGAAAACATACTTTAGACTTGAAAACCATTAACTGCACCAGACTATCATGTATTTTATTGATTATTATATTGATTATGACAGCGTAATTACTCCCTGCATGAACTGCTGAGGTTGTGAATAAATAATGTGCACAAACAAAACATGCAACAAATGCTTTAAACAAAAGCGCACCATAGTGTACACTAACATCTATCTCTCAAAGAAGAGCCGTATTCTGCGCAGAAGAAAGTATAGTTCTTCCTTTTCTCGATAGATTGAATAACTGGCAAATGCATGTCATAAAGTGTAAAAATGAATGTTACAAAAGCTTATACATGCCAATGATAACTGAAGAAAAAGATGTGCATGCGCAGGAAGACAGCAAAGAGAAAAATACCAAAATGCGTCGTATATATATACTAATTAATTTTTTGGAGATGGAATTCTCAAATGGTTTTATGCAGAGACCTAACTCTTAAGGCAAAGGCCTTTTTTTCAAATGTTTAGCATGCTTCTATCAGACGAGGAATCTTTACGCAAAGTGCAGTATCATGCACATTTCTTTTCTATTGCAGCACGTTTGAAAGAATCTACTGAAGAGCTTTGTATTGAAGACTCCAAACTTCTGCATATAGCCGCTTTCTTACGCATTGAAAGAATCAGCTGGCAAAGCAGAAACAATTACTACCAGTAACCTTCATACATGGGAAATCTGGCAGAATTCAAAGAGAAAGAGGAACCACAACTTGTTATAGAAGAACAGTGGTGTTGGGACGGAATGTTACTGTTGTTGGATGATATACTCTACGAGTTATGCTGTTGTAAATCCACTGTGGGAAAAATTAAAACTGAAGATAGGATTCGATCTTTTGGTAAAAATTTGAGGTAAAGAAAAATCCAAAACACAATCGAGCTTCAATTTCTTTTAAATAAGCCAGAGCTTGGAATTAAAAAACGCGCGAAATATTTCTTAGTTTCTCATTGGTTAATTTAAGGTTTATCTCATTGGTTGCAAAGAACACATGACACACATGAATTACACATCACACGCAGAACCTCTTCCATCTCATGCCATTGATCCAGCAAGAGGTATGTAATTTTGAACGTTTAATCTACTTATTGAGAGCAAATATTTAAACATAGACTGTGGCTAATGGCTGCAGTTAAATGCTGAAAAAATAATCGGCTGTGAGAGCCAATTTTCAGTGGCCAGAGCCGGATCAATAGGCAATTTATATCGGCTGTGAGAGCCAATTTTTGTGGCATCTTGTTCGCCATTTCACATTTATATACAAAGTAACATATTTTTTTCTCAATTAACATGTATTCTATTTAGCGTAGCATATAGATCTAATAATTTGTCAAACACAGTTTTAGTTGAGGAGGTTAGTGTGTTTAAATACAATTATCTATCTATTATTATCGTATGTAGGATTTTCAAAATGCCGCCTTACATTGTTATGTGACAAGTTATGTCCGAAAATTCTAGAAAGCAACGCACAGAGCAACAGCAGGAAACTCTGTTAATAATATTTATACATATTCGACTTCAGAAATGGAGGGAAAACGTACTACGTAGCTGAACTGGATGTCGTTTTTCGAAAAAATTGAAGCAAACCAAACATCCTCTCATCATAATTAAACACCTCCCAAGATCAATCAACAAATCCAGCCCCTCACATGCAACACCATTAAACAACTCTCAAACTCAATCAACAAATCCAGTCTCCTCCCAACACCATTAATAAACAATTCTCAAGTTCAATCAACAAATCTACCATCTCTCAACACCATCAACTCTCAAGTTCAATCAACAAATCCAGCCTCCTCCCCACACCATTAATAAACAGCTCTCAAGTTAATCAACAAATCCAGTCTCCTTCCAACACCATTAATAAACAACTCTCAAGTTCAATCAACAAATCCACCATTTCTCAACACCATCAACTAACTCTCAAGTTCAATCAACAAATCCAGCCTCCTCCCAACACCATTTAATAACTCTCAAGTTCAATCAACAAATCCTGCCTCCTTTCAATACCATTAACAACCCTCAAGTTCAATCAACAAATCCACCATCTCTCAACACCATCAACTAACTCTCAAGTTCAATCAACAAATCCAGCCTCCTCCCAACACTATTAACAACCCTCAAGTTCAATCAACAAATCCTGTCTCCTCCCAACACCATTAACAATCTTCACGTTCAATCAACAAATCCAACCTCCTCCCAACACCATTAACAATATTCAAGTTCAATCAACAAATCCAGCCTCCTCCCAACACCATTAACAACTCTCAAGTTCAATCAACAAATCCTGCCTCCTCCCAACACCATTAACAACTCTCAAGTTCAATCAACAAATCCGCCTCCTCCCAACACCATTAACAACTCTCAAGTTCAATCAACAAATCCTGCCTCCTCCCAACACCATTAACAACCCTCAAGTTCAATCAACAAATCCACCATCTCTCAACACCAACTAACTAACTCTCAAGTTCAATCAACAAATAACATCAACTCTCTCATCAACTAACTCTCAAGTTCAATCAACAAATCCAGCCTCCTCATAACACCATTAACAACCTTCAAGTTCAATCAACAAAATCCTGCCTCCTCTCAATACCATTAACAACCCTCAAGTTCAATCAACAAATCCTGCCTCCTCCCAACACCATTAACAATCTCCAAGTTCAATCAACAAATCCTGCCTCCTCCCAACACCATTAACAACTCTCAAGTTTAATCAACAAATCCAGCCTCCTCCCAACACCATTACTAAACAGCTCTCAAGTTAATCAACAAATCCAGTCTCCTTCCAACACCATTAATAAACAACTCTCAAGTTCAATCAACAAATCCTGCCTCCTCCCAACACCATTAACAACTCTCAAGTTCAATCAACAAATCCAGCCTCCTCCCAACACCATCAACTAACTCTCAAGTTCAATCAACAAATCCAGCCTCCTCCCAACACCATCAACTAACTCTCAAGTTCAATCAACAAATCCAGCCTCCTCCCAACACCATCAACTAACTCTCAAGTTCAATCAACAAATCCAGCCTCCTCCCAATACCATTAACAACTCTGAAGTTCAATCAACAAATCCTGCCTCCTCCCAACACCATTAACAACCCTCAAGTTCAATCAACAAATCCTGCCTCCTCCCAACGCCATTAACAACTCTCAAGTTCAATCAACAAATCCAGCCTCCTCCCAACACCATTAACAATCTTCACGTTCAATCAACAAATCCTGCCTCCTCCCAACACCACTAACAACTCTCAAGTTCAATCAACAAATCCAGCCTCCTCCCAATACCATTAACAACTCTGAAGTTCAATCAACAAATCCTGCCTCCTCCCAACACCATTAACAACCCTCAAGTTCAATCAACAAATCCTGCCTCCTCCCAACGCCATTAACAACTCTCAAGTTCAATCAACAAATCCAGCCTCCTCCCAACACCATTAACAATCTTCACGTTCAATCAACAAATCCTGCCTCCTCCCAACACCACTAACAACTCTCAAGTTCAATCAACAAATCCAGCCTCCTCCCAATACCATTAACAACTCTGAAGTTCAATCAACAAATCCTGCCTCCTCCCAACACCATTAACAACCCTCAAGTTCAATCAACAAATCCTGCCTCCTCCCAACGCCATTAACAACTCTCAAGTTCAATCAACAAATCCAGCCTCCTCCCAACACCATTAACAATCTTCACGTTCAATCAACAAATCCTGCCTCCTCCCAACACCACTAACAACTCTCAAGTTCAATCAACAAATCCAGCCTCCTCCCAATACCATTAACAACTCTGAAGTTCAATCAACAAATCCTGCCTCCTCCCAACACCATTAACAACCCTCAAGTTCAATCAACAAATCCTGCCTCCTCCCAACGCCATTAACAACTCTCAAGTTCAATCAACAAATCCAGCCTCCTCTCAACACCATTAACAACCCTCGACAAATCCAGCCCCCTCCCAACACCATTAAACTCTCAAGTTCAATCAACAAATCCAGCCCCCTCCTCCACACCGTTGTTGTTGCTGCTGCTGTTGTTGTTGTTGCTGTTATACAACTAATTCAAAACAGGGTGTCCTTTGTAAAACCTTAAACTCTAAGCACGCAAAGGTTAATAGGAGCACAAGTTTAAGGCTTAGGGTTGAATGTTGCAGCTAGTTGTAAAATGAATTGTTCGCGTAAGGAGATATTTAATTACACTTGCAATTTCTGATGCGTGAGAACGAGTGGATGAGTTATGAATGTTCAGATGAGGATACAAAGGGATACATACTCAGAACATTCATTTATTCACTCGTTCACATCCATCAGAA